TTTAGTTAAAAAATAATTTATTTTAACGCTCAGAAGATTATTTACATTACCTATGTTAACCTGAGCTCACAAGAATACACTGTGTTGTCTGAAGGAACACACAACAACAAAGTAACTCTGCTGTTTCACATTTCTAGTACTCTGCTTTCTGTCCTGTTAGCTCATATACAGGCCTCTCCTCAGAAGAGGTGATTCACACCACAAGGCGCTAGATTCCTTTGTGGCCAGCGTACACACAGAGCAGAAGTGTTGACAGACCTATTCATCTCGGTCATGCAACCTCATCATCCACACCCAAACACCTCCAAAGTATATTTATCTGTGCAATTGTGCATGGGTGCAGAATAGCGGCATCATTTACTCTGTGTTGTTTGTTTGCTCAGCTCTTCTCTTTGTCAGTTTGATTCCTCAACTCATGCAACTGAAGCAACACACAAGACCACTGATACTCAGGAGAGCCTAAATATTTGATTTAACGCTGACGCCTCGTACTAAGAGTGAATAACCTCTTGTGTCCTCTGTGTACAGCTTCAGGTGAAACAGGATCCACTGTAAAGCATCACTGCTAAACCATGATGAAGATTCCGTTTCGGGTCAAGGACACTTCAGCAGGATGGAGATACGCCTTCACAATGAGGCCAGTAAGTGAAGGGGCACCCTGTTGTCCTTATCTTGATGTCAACATATTCCTTAAAAATAGTCTAGTTACCAATCTTCTTTACATCAAATGATCACTATTAAATAAAAACTGCATCGAAAAAGTCAGTATTCAGTCATCAAAACACTCAGAAAGCTTGAACCTTGGCAAAGGTTCATTAAGTGGACAATTAGGCTTATATGCAGTAACATTTTAAAGGGTTTGTTGGCCCCTGTTGGACCTGTCCACCTTGTTTCATGATAATCAGGCCAGTAGTTTTTCCGTAATGCTACTGACAGAAAGCCATAACGAAACGCTAACATTCTTGATAAGGCTTTAATCTTAAATGTGCCATTCCGTTTGCCTTTGTGAAACTACCCAAAATGTCTAGTTATTTTTTACAGAAATAACTAACATTAAAGTTGATTATTCAGTTTTGTAGAAGCTCTCTCTGTGTTGTGTCCCATTCAAACCTTTCATTCACAAATCTACCATGCAAATATTCCAAACTCCCTCAACCCTTAGGGCTGTTGTTTGATTATATGTGGTTACCACACACACACCACACACACACACCACACACACACACACACCACACACACGCACACGCACACGCACACACACACACACACACACACACACACACACACACACACACACACACACACACACACACACACACACACACACACACACACACACACACACACACACACACACACACACACACACACTAAAGTGGTCTCTTGACAGTCTAAGGTCTATGTCTGACAGATGGAGGTTCTTTCATAGTGAACCAAGCGGTTGCCACAACAAACCTAGCATCCCCTCTACTGGGCTGAACCGGCTCATACAATTACTACAAGTTTTAAAATAGCAGTGTAATCTAGTTTTCACATAATGAATTGAATTAAAAGAAATGTCAATGATACTTCACTGAATGCCAGTGAACTTTACTAAACCACGAGAGAAAAGACGCACTATAATAATCTTGAACGTATCTTCATGAACTTCTGACACATATTTCTGCCTTTGCTTCCCAATCTTACTCTGTTCCAGTGTATTTCTCGGAAGTCCAGTACTTATCCCGGCGATGCGTCCCCCATGTCCCACCAGCCGTACGTATACATCCCGGGCCGTGTGATTGGCTATACGCAGATGCAGGCTCCTTCGTGTTGTAATCTTCACCTGGCACCTCAAGGCCTCGGACACTACTATGGATGAATCTCGTTCGTCCACAGACTCCCCGGGGTGGTAAACTTCAAGAGGTCCGGCCTGTCCCACCTCCATCCCCTCACCCTCACCCTCCAGCCACTCTGGGGTCATGTCCAGCCCGAGTCCCGCTGCCCTGCCCTGGCTCCCGCAGCTCAGGGGGTCGCCTACATTGGGGCACTCGCTAACTCCCAACGCCACACTGCTCTGCATGAGGCCGCCTCCGACATCACTGCTGTTTCTGTGCTCAAGAACCTCCATCGTTCAGTCTGACGACCAACCTCTAACCCAGCTGTCTGCGGCGTGACCCCCACACCCTGAGTGAGCGGGCTGCCAGCTGAGATCTGAGGTTGGGACGCCTACACATACACACTGAGAGAGATGGTGAGAGACATACACCAGACACATTCTCTCTCTCTGATACACAGACATAGCGGGCCCTCCTGTGAATGTCAGCGATGTTAACAAAGAGTGGAGGGGCATTAGAGGAGGATCAGGCCCAAAGCTGCTGTTTCTATATATAACCAGGTGGTCCTGCTGCAGAGGGGCAGCTAATCTAACTCTGATTACAAAGGCCTGACTCAGGGTGGGATTTGGATCACTTTCTGTTCCTCACAGCAAGTCTTTCTTTATCTCTTTTCCACGTCAGACTCATTTTCTTTTTCACTTCACTTTAAATCTATGATAAAACCTTCAATCACAAAAATATATCTCTGCAAGCTTATTTAGTTGCAGGCAGCTAACTCTGAAGGTTAGCATTAACACACATTTTAATGGACAGCAGTTTGCTTGATATAAAAATAAGACTTGTTGCATCCTTCCCAGGGTCTCATTTGATGTTTTGAGTGATAGGGGGAGTGAGGATGGACCCATAATTGTGAGATTCGAATAATAAGTCTAATCAATGAGTAATATCCGTAGCCAAAACATGACATAACCACTGTGTGTGTGTGTGTGTGTGTGTGTGTGTGTGTGTGTGTGTGTATAGATTTCGGTATATAAGAAGGGGACAGGCTGTACAAACAGAACAAGGTCAGCACTGTCCTTGGGTCAGCTTCCTGTTTCCCCTCTAATGGTTGAGATTAGTGCTCTGAATTTAGACGGTGATCCTGTACCATCTCGAGGACACTTTATCCGAAAGTCTTTGCACAATGCAGCAGCCTTCTTTAAACAGTCAGCGTCCCACTGTCTAAAAGTAGAGACATGCTCAATACAAACTGGTTTGAACAACCTGTCATCTATAGCCAGAAGAGTTCTGATATCTGTTATAAACAGCAACACCTGAAGGCAGTGTGAAAACCCTGCTGTCAGAGAAGATACGATTATTATTCAAATGGGGGGGGCTTTACTTGAGTTCATGGTGTTGCACTTGGTGGTACAACTAAATGTGACAGGAGCATCTGTGTGAAAAATGTAAAAACGAGTGATGGAGAGATGAATGTAAACCCTGCTTATTTTCTCATCTCCATATACAGTATAGAGCCCATTGCTGCTCCCTCCAGAAGGGGATTACTGTAACTTTCTGGAACAACAATCAGACAAACAAACCCACTTCATGCAGCAATGGGCCAATTGATCCAAGATGACAAAGTAAAAGTATTTAAACAACATAATATTAAAGCTCTCCTTTGTTATTCTTTACACATACAGTACACTTCTGTTCCTTTCGGTGTGAACATCTGGTCCCAACACCATGGACATGTTGGATAAGAGAAAAAGTGTGTGCTCTTTGACAGTTAATATGCCATATTTTAAGAGCACTTAGTAGGTCTCTTTGTCAAAGGGATACTGCACTCCAAAATGATCAGTTGTATTTCAATCACTTACCCTGGGTTATATTGAATACTTGAAAGAACACTTTGCATGCCTCCACAGTGACATGGTGCCTGCTTAACAATGGCGACACTACACAAAACATCTGTTTACAAACAGTCACCGCACTTGTGCAGTCAAAGATAAATCTCATTTGGGAAGTAGTGAGCGACTACTGGGAAAATGAGACCTAGATAATACTATAGAGATACTTCCTACTTCAATTCTTCGTTCACCACAAAGGCATGGGAAAAAAACAACAGCGCACAAAAAAAAATGTCACGTTCAAATTGGCAATAATATATATATATATATATATACTATATACTATATAAGGGGTGAGTAATTGACGAGGAAATGGCCTGTTTATGCGTCCCGGTAGCAGACTGGTAGAGGGA